ACTCATTTCATAAAGAAACGGGAACAAAAAGGATTTGTTTTGTTGGAACTGAAGTCCCCCGACTCAGTCCTGATCAGGACAAACAATGTCCTCCATCTGAGTCCAGACAAAGACAATGTCCTCCATTTGAGTCCAGACAGAGACAATGTCCTCCATTTGAGTACAGACCGAGACAATGTCCTCCATCTGAGTACAGACCGAGACAAACTATGTCCTCCATCTGAGTCCAGACAAAGACAATGTCCTACATTTGAGTCCAGACAGAGACAAACTATGTCCTCCATCTGAGTCCAGACTGAGACAAACAAAGTCCACTGAGTCCAGACCGAGACAAACTATGTCCTCAATCTGAGTCCAGACTGAGACAAACAAAGTCCTCTGAGTCCAGACCGAGACAAACTATGTCCTCCATTTGAGTCCAGACTGAGACAATGTCCTCCATCTGAGTCCAGACTGAGACAAACTATGTCCTCTGTCTGAGTCCAGACTGAGACAAACTATGTCCTCTGTCTGAGTACAGACTGAGACATAAACCAGTTTCCTGTCAGTCCTCCAGAAGAATGTCAACTTTTTAAAATCTCAGATTTACAAACCATGTTTTTATTCTTAAGAAAGAAAATCGTTTTTAGGGTTTTGATGCTGAAAACTCCGAGAAACAAGAAGGAACACAACTTTATTTATTTATTTATTTATGGTTGCTAACATGATAGAAACACAGAAGAAAAGGGAGCACAACGAGGGGAGGACAGGCTGGAAGTGAGTGAACACACACAAACAAACAAACACACACAAACACACAAACACACAAACAAACACACAAATAAACACACAAACAAACACACACGTATTTTGACTAAAATAGAGCTTTTCCTTTGATGTGAGCAGAGCACTTTGGCACATGTTTCCCTTTAACCACTCCTGGTCACTGACACGTAAACAAATGCAAGAGCACATGATCACACACACACACACACACACACACACACAGTTTTATAGATGCAGGCCGACAACAGCTTTGGGCGAATGGATTCAAATAAGGACGACAGCATCTGTGGGTGACGAGTCGACTGAATGAAACATAAAATGACCAACAGGTGGTAAATATATAAAGTTTAGAGATAAACTGAGTTATATCTGATAAATGACAGACAGTAAATATGTAAAGTTTACTCATAAACCGAGCTACAGCCAATAAATGACCAACAGGTAGTAAATATGTAAAGTTCACTCATAAACCGAGCTACAGCCAATAAATGACCAACAGGTAGTAAATATGTAAAGTTTACTCATAAACCGAGCTACAGCCAATAAATAACCAACAGACAGTAAATATGTAAAGTTCACTCATAAACCGAGCTACAGCCAATAAATAACCAACAGACAGTAAATATGTAAAGTTTACTCATAAACCGAGCTACAGCCAATAAATGACCAACAGGTAGTAAATATGTAAAGTTCACTCATAAACCGAGCTACAGCCAATAAATGACCAACAGGTAGTAAATATGTAAAGTTTACTCATAAACCGAGCTACAGCCAATAAATAACCAACAGACAGTAAATATGTAAAGTTCACTCATAAACCGAGCTACAGCCAATAAATAACCAACAGACAGTAAATATGTAAAGTTTACTCATAAACCGAACTACAGCCAATAAATGACCAACAGGTAGTAAATATGTAAAGTTTACTCATAAACCGAGCTACAGCCAATAAATAACCAACAGACAGTAAATATGTAAAGTTTACTCATAAACCGAGCTACAGCCAATAAATAACCAACAGACAGTAAATATGTAAAGTTCACTCATAAACCGAGCTACAGCCAACAAATGACCAACAGGTAGTAAATATGTAAAGTTCAGAGATAAACCGAGCTACAGCCGATAAATGACCAACAGGAAGTAAATATGTAAAGTTCAGAGATAAACCGAGCTACAGCCGATAAATGACCAACAGGAAGTAAATATGTACATGTAAATCTCAGGTCTCTCTTGTAAATGAGTCCTCGAGGCTCCATGGGATTTACCTGTCTAAATAAATGTTGAATGAATGTAAAGCTCAGGGTTCCTCGGTGAAAACGCTCGTGACAATGTCTAGTTGGGAGGGTCTTGACTCCGGTAGTTTCCCAGGTTTGGCTGTGTGAATGCGGGTCTGCACTCACCGTAAACAAAACTCTCAGTTCTCTCTGGTCTTGTCTGTAGACAAAGACAGTGGAACTGGACAGGAACAGAACCTCACAGGTGGAAACATTGGAGCCAACTTGTAGCTAAAGTCAGAGAAAGACACGAAGCAGGACAAAGCAGGGCATGAAACACATCCAGACACTTCTTCGGTCTTTGAACAGAACCGGACTCTTTATGTGCAGACTAATGAAGCAACATGTGGAAACGTTCCTTCACAGACGGTGACTTGTTTCCAGTCACCTCAGGCCAACAGACATCTTAGTCGTAAATGTTCGCTTCGTACTGGAGCCCAACCGATATATCGGCAGGGCCGATATTTTAGTCCAATATAGGTGTTTGGGGACATAACCAAAATTTCAATATTGGTTGAGCTCTAGTTCTTACTTGGTGAGCTATGGAGCGGTCTTCGGGAGTTTGCAGCATTCACCTCCATCATCTTTACGTTATTCTGTGAGACGGACAGGAAGCAGCGAGGAAGGACCTGGACCACCACACTTCCATTCAATGAAAAACGAGCCGACGAGAAGAACGACTTTCATCACTACACACAAGGAACGAGTGGAGGAGAGCAGCTGCAGAACCTGATGAACCTTCAGATCCACGGCCTTCCGGACCAGAACACTCTGGACCTCTCATCTCGCTCTCTGCTCGGACCCTTGCTTTGTGGACGTTCTTGCTGCAGACTGGTCTCAAGTGGATCTCCTCAGACGGGACTCGGTCTGACCACTCTTCCTGTGTGGATCTTTGAGCAGATCTTCAGTCACTTTTTACTTCCTGAACGTCGGATTGCTTTCAGGTACAAACAGGAAGTGGCATTGGCAACTTCTGCTTCATTTAAACGCTTCATGTGACGAAGGCTCACCAATCAACGGCCCAACAGAACGCTGGTGGCCCCGTCTGAACGCCGGTGGCCCAAACCCTGATGGGTCTGAACGCTGAGTGTTTGCACTTCTGGACCCAAGGGTTGTTCTGAGCAGGGACAAAGTCAACCTGAATGTTTTTGGTGCAACATGTTCAACAGAGGGAGAAGGTCCACCAGGTCCAGAAGTGGAGCCTGGGGGGGAGTGGTGGCCATAGCCCTAACCCCCTGTCATTTAACAAAACTGAACTTTGAAGCAAAATAAAAACTATAAGCAAAATTTCCTCAGATGATCGAGCTTTACATGTTCAGATATATGACGTGGCCATATTGGATTCAACCTTCTGAAGGAACGCCTCGATGCGACGCACACGACAATACATCGACGATAAGCCGAAGTTACGCTGATGATACGCCGACGATACACCGACGATACGCTGACGATATGCTGATGATACGCTGATGATACACTGTTGATACACTGATGATACGCCGTTGATACGCCGACGATAAGCCGATACGCCGACGATACGCCGACGATACGCTGATGATACGCTGATGATACGTCGACGATACGCCGACGATACGCTGATGATGCACTGATGATACGCTGATGATACACAGATGAT